TAGTAGCGATGCCCTTTGCTCCTAGTAGCTTCTTGTTCCTAGTAGTAAGGCCAGGAGCCCCTAGTAGCGTCCTTGCTCCCAGTAGCGATGCCCTTTGCTCCTAGTTACCTCTTGTTCCTAGTAGTACGGCCAGGAGCCCCTAGTAGTGATGCCCTTTGATCCTAGTAGCTTCTTGTTCCTAGTGGTAAGGCCAGGAGCCCCTAGTAGCGTCCTTGCTCCGAGTAGCGATGCCCTTTGCTCCTAGTAGCTTCTTGTTCCTAGTAGTAAGGCCAGGAGCCCCAGTAACTTCTTGCTCCCAGTAGCGATGCCCTTTGCTCCTAGTAGCCTCTTGTTCCTAGTAGTAAGGCCAGGAGCCCCTAGTAGCGTCCTTGCTCCTAGTAGCGATGCCCTTTGCTCCTAGTAGCCTCTTGTTCCTAGTAGTATGGCCAGAAGCCCCTAGTAGCGTCCTTGCTCCTAGTAGCGATGCCCTTTGCTCCTAGTCGCCTCTTGTTCCTAGTAGCAAGGCCAGGAGCCCCTACTGTAGTAGCGTCCTTGCTCCCAGTAGCGATGCCCTTTGCTTGTTGTAGCTTCTTGTTCCTAGTAGTAAGGCCAGGAGCCCCTAGTAGCGTCCTCGCTCCTAGTAGCGATGCCCTTTGCTCCTAGTAGCTTCTTGTTCGTAGTAGCAAGGCCAGGAGCCCCTACAGTAGTAGCTTCTTGCTCCTAGTAGCGATGCCCTTTGTTACTAATAGCTTCTTGTTCCTAGTAGTTCCTAGTAGCCTCCGTTATTTGGGAGGCAAGTCGATAGTGGGATGATATTATCACCCTGGTCTCAACCACCATCCCTCAAGATTCTGCCAAGCGTACTTCAAATGCATTTCAGAATGTCCACATGGCAAAACCCACATGGAACCCACTCGGAATCTACTTCCAAATAAACTCTCCAAAGCAAGAGACGCCTCAGTGACCCAGGCAGTGTGCGGCAGTGACCCAAATGCTTCACCGATAGCCAATGGCTACAACATATCCCAATGACCCCATGGCTGACACATGGCCTGCAAATCTCCAATCCAAAACAGAACTGAGAAGAAGGCGGGGATGTAAAACAAGTCCGCCTGACAAAGCCATTCTGGCGCCAGGGTCCGGTGGTCTGCATGCTAAAGGAGGGCTGGGTGTGACCCAAAGATACCAAGGTCCAACAGGGTGTGCCCAAGCTGAGCTGATTAGAACCGAGTTCAGGGAATGCTAGCATCAACCTCCCACCAGGTCTCCACATCATGACAATTCATGACATATTCAACAACAGTTTCTGATCGAGTAAGCCCAGCTGTGGCAGTAAAACAAACATGGAACTCTTCACCTGGTACTCTGCTGTTGGACGGACTTAGTCAACATCCAACATCCATGCTAGTGACTACGAGTGGCATCCTTTCACAGGAAGGATATTGCAAGAGATTCAACACAAAAAGCCACGTGAGTCAGGTGATCCCGTGTGATCCCCCACAAAAGAAACCACCGGCCATCCGAGGCCTCTTCTGGATCCTTGGTGATGCCAAAGCCTCCCTGGCCAGACATCATCTGCTCGTGCCTCTGCTCGCGGGGAGCAGCGGACTTCCCAAACGGTCAATCTTCCAAGTTAACGGGATCGGACCAACATGTATGTGTATATTATATATAATATATATATATAGTTGTATACTACGTATACGTATGTATACATATAACTGCATACATACATATTCCGAGCAGATCCGACCAGGTCGGACTTAATAGTTGATTTGCCATGATGGTAGACCATTGGCTGCCACGTGGTAAAGCCTTCGGCTCAAAAGTGCAGCTTGCCCAGGGACGGTATGTCTGAAAAATAGTATCATCTGCAATCGAGAGAACTCGAGGTGAAACAAATATTTTCCAGAGGGTATGTCGGTATGTCATGGTCCATGGTACATCTCTGCAGATGGTTGACAGGACATGCTCGATTTGTTTGTCTTCATGAACTCTCTAACTCTATTCTCGTTCTGCAGCCTCAGTCGACTTGAAGGTCCTAATATCATATGATGTTTCTAGCGTTCCTTTCTTGTGATTGGTGGCTTGAATGTTTTGATGTCATAAGTTCCCAACCTTGATTTTCATGTAGATGTTGATTTGATACTTGATACAAGTCAAGATGCAAGTATCCAGCAAGAACATGCTGAATCAGGTCCAGCCCAAAGCCTAGTCTTTCAAAGAGCCGTGCACCTCCATCCATCTCATTCCGGAGGTCCAGACTGGACCGACCCAAGGTGTGCTTCAAAGCTCCCTTTTTTCACCCGTTCCGTGCTCTTTCCGTACCTGTTGCGAAAGCTCCTTTCCGGACCTGATTCCTGGCCCCCCTACCCAAAAAAATAACAGAAACACTCACACACACACACACCAGGCTGCAAAGGTCGTAGCTGTTGTGCCATCTTTCGCAGGTATAAAGCATTGGCCTGGATATTTGGTCTGCAGGACGGAGTAAGATGGGGCAAGCCCTCGAAACACATGGGAGTTCTGGTTTGTGCTGGCAATGCCCCATGAGGAAGGAAGGTCAAATGAGATCATGTAGATGGCCTGAAACCCTAAATCCTGGAAGATCAGCGACAGGCATCACCATCTAGTTTAGCGGCAAGAGGAAACATGCAGGGACAAACCATTGGACCAGGTTTCATGGATCGGGCCACCACAATGTTGATCCCTTCTGGGAAAACCGATCCATCAGGTGATAACAATCCGATCCAACAGTGTTTGTACCGAAGAGGTCTCCAAAGTTGGTTTGTGCCGCGCCTCTTCCTCCAAAGCCAGGGGGCCATTGTCCCCTGAGTAGTTTTGGTTGCAATAGAATGTGTCTGTAGCCACACGCAGGGGTCTAAATTTGTCTCGAAAATTAAAGTAAAGATAAATTCAATTGAATTCAGACCAGCCCAGTCAGTGCGAGTCGTTTCAATCTAGGTTGCAGTCTACTTCAAAGCTTGAATGTTTGCCTCAGTCGAACATCTCTCCCTCCGGCCTGGTAGGGTCTGCAGCACCTCCGTGGCGCATTTGGGCACCTGGTGCACGAAGAGCTTCCTGCAGGTCACGGAATCCAAGCGAGAAAAGTTTCCCACAACGAACGACCAAAGCAAATCAGAAATGTGGGACATTCCGACATTCCGTTCGTGCCTGTTCCCCTTCCTCCAAGCGCCCCATTGCAAAAAAAAAAGCAATATATATATATATATATATGCAAACAAGCTCACCACACTGCAATCACCACGAAAATCATCAAAACATATAAGCTCTTCCATTCTGCCCCGACCACCCGTTCCGCCTCGTGATGCCGCTTTCGGCTTGGTGGGCGATCACCGGAGTACGGCGCCCCCTTTTGGACGACGGTCACTGGTGATCCAAACACATCTGCATTGGAGAAACGTTTCAAGCGAACGCAAGCGAACTGTAGGAGCAGTAGTAGTAGTAGTAGCAGTAGTAGTAGTAGTAGGAGTAGTAGTAGTAGTAGTAGTAGTAGTAGGAGTAGTAGTAGTAGTAGTAGTGATTAGTAGTAGTAGTACTAGTAGTAGTAGTAGTAGTAGTAGTAGGAGTAGTAGTAGTAGTGATTACTAGTAGTAGTAGTGATTAGTAGTAGTAGTAGTAGTAGTAGTAGTAGTAGTAGTAGTAGTAGTAGTAGTGGTAGTGGTAGTGGTAGTGGTAGTGGTAGTGGTAGTGGTAGTGATTAGTAGTAGTAGTAGTAGTAGTAGTAGTAGTAGTAGTAGTAGTAGTAGTAGCAGTAGTAGTATTGTTATTAGTAGTAGTAGTAGTAGTAGCAATAGCGGTAGTGGTAGTCATGGTGGTGGTAGTAGCAGTAGTAGTAGCTGTTGTTGTGGTGGCTGTTGTCTATGTGTTTGTTGTTGTTGTGGTGGTGGAGGTGGTGGTTGCTTTTTGTTCAAGTTGCTTATTTCAATCGCACATCCGCAAAGGATTCTGACTTGCAAAATGTAAAACATGATTGGTGCACAGAGTTTGGGAGGGATAGAGATGGCACTGGTATGAATCTGTTTTAAGACAAAGACCATGCCACTGACTGTGCCACCCTTGAGCCATCCATGCGAAGGGTGTGGGACTCATGCTTCACCTCTGCGAGACATACCCCAAGGCAACTTCGAAAAACATCTTCCAAAAGAAGTGACCACACACGCTACCAGCTACGTTTCAATTATTTGCATTGACACATATAAAAACATTGAAACCATAGAAAGCCCAAGCCCTTGCAACTGATGCTGGGATTCTCTGCACGACGGATGAGTCAACATGACCTTTTCCAGGTCATTGTATGATAGTCTGGACAGCAATAGTGGACCCTCTCCCATCCTCTCCTCTGAATCAACAATCAAAATCAAAACCATGGCCATCCCCAGTCAATTGCATAATTGAAGGGGGTCATGCCTAGCTAAAGCAGGTGAAAATCAATATGTTGCAGCGGTCAAAAGGCAGTGGTCAGTAAAAACTCCGGTCTAATTCTACGCAGTCATCCACAATCAACCATTTCTGCTTTAGTATTTGTACTCAAGACATCCCCAAACCCAGCTCCTCCCGACGGCCCCGTCCTCACCACTCGAAAAAAGCTCCTTTGGGAGGTGGCTTCGCTGCACCGCACCGGTGGGGGCTTCGCTTCGGTGGACTTGGCATCGGGTGAAGGCCGGTCGGGCCACGAAAGAGCGACGGCCGAACCAGTTGCTTCGGCGAGTAGCTGGCGGCTGGGTTCACGACGAAGACGGGACAATTCCAACCTAGCAAAAGGAACCTATATAATAGCGATGGCCTCCACTCTTGTAGCGATGGCCTCCACCCTAGTAGCAATAGCCTCGAACCTAGTGGTGATGGCCTCCGCCCTAAGCCTATTAGTGATGGCCTCCAACCTAATTGTAATGTCCTGCACCCTAGTAGCGACGGTCTCCAACCTAGTAGCAATGGCCTCCAATCTAGAAGCTATGGCCTCCAACCTAATAGCAATG